AACAATGGCGTTATAGAGATGGAGACTAGTAGATTTGCTCCAAACGACCGTTGTTTCTCTCTGATTGGTGAGTCCAATTGCCTTGAGTCCACTGTCAACATTGTACCCATCTACAGTGGCTTTGTATTGCCTTGCTCATACAAATCCTTACTCTCCAGAATCTCCATCGGATCGTGCTCTACCTATCTGCAGATTCACAAACAAAACAATAATAAAAAAATAGAGCAATCATAGAGAGAGAGAGAGAGAGAGAGAGAGAGAGAGAGATAGAGAGTTCTTCAAACCTTGCTTATGGGTAGAACTGAGTGAACTCAACCCGGTGAGATCCAATTGGATGGGCATTTTTGTCGTAGTGAATGAATCTGGTGCTGCTGGTTCCTTGATCGATTGACCCACTAAATACATTCTCTTTCGACATTTCTATTCTTCTCTTCCTCCTTCGAAGAATGTTGTGTTGCGTCTCAAATTGACCAAAAAAAAAAAAAAACAGAGCAAAACAGAGTTATGAAAACGGGAGAAGAGAGAGAGGGTGTGTTCAAAATTTGAAATCAGAAAGAAAGGGATGAGAGGAGTAAGTGTGTGAGAGAGAGACATTTTCAACCCTTGGATTGAATCAATCTAAGGTCCACATTTTGACAAAGGGACAAAAGTCCTATCAGAATTCAAAAACTATCATTCCTTATTATATAGGTGCTCAAAGAATTAAAATATAAAAGTATTTAAATATAATATTTGATCGGTTCAATTTGCATCAATATAAAAATTTTAAAACCAAAACATACGGTATATTATGACAAACAAACCAAAAATTGAAATTTTGGTTCAATTCAAACGATGGATTCAGTTTTATCGACTCTAGGCTCAACTCATACTACATATCAATGGGCTTGACCCACAAGCCTGACTTCACCTTGAACAAGGCCTAACAACATTATTTTCTAGAAGTTTGTGTTTCACATATTTTTTTTTTTTGATGATCATGTGTTTGAACCATATCTCGATTAATTCTGAGACCAATGCGAAATGTTCCCACTATGTGGATTATGCAAATCTCAAACAGCACTTGTGTGCATGGCCCCAATAAATTGATAACATTTAATAAGAGTTAAACTTAAAATTTAGAGGGAGCGGACCCTATACTCCAAACTGTATCAGGTTGATTTGCACATATAAGAAAGTGAGTCTCTCTCAAGTTCTCTTTTAACTTAATCATCCAAAGACTCCTACACTATATTTGATTGAAGAATTTAAGTAAAATTGATCTGAAAATGAAAAAAAAAAACATTTCTTTTCATTTTTAAAATTCTTTTTAAATTTCTCAATTAAATACAACGGTAGAAAAGAAATCCGCTGCACCTAAAGATGTGCTTTGCTTTGCAAGAGTTAGAAGAGACAAAAGTCTAAATTATCACCCAAAAGGATAGGACATTTATTTATTGATATAATCAATTATATATCAGTTATAATCACATTACTTTTGTTGTGCAGCTCAACAATATGATTCCTTGTAAAAAAAAAAAAAATTTCTTCTGTTTTTTGATTGCTTCCTTTTGGCCTGTAGCGCTCCATCTTAATATAATTCCCCAACAGTGTTTCCATTAGGAGTTGTATTACGACATGCTAAAACAATAGTGTTTTTCATTAGCAAAACACCTTTATCTTGTGTTTTTTTTTTTCAAACTTTACAAAAAATTATTTTAAAAAATATAAAAATACATAGAAACATATTTGGTTTATTTATTTATTTATTTATTTTTTAAAATTAAAAGGAATAAACTCAGAACCAAACAGGTAACATAAACCATTGCAATGTGGGCTTTAGGTCAGTAGAAAACGAGCCATCTTATTCCTGTGACCAAATAACTCCTCCCATTCCACACGAACGCTAAATAGTAGACGCAGTCGGTTGTGTCCATGTACTCCGAATTCAGTTGGGTTGGTTTTAATTTTTTAAATTTAATTTTTTTAAATTAAATTTTTTATTTTTCGTATTTTTATTTTTAGTGAATAGTTTTAAAATTTTAAGTAATTTTAAAAAAAATTTAGATGTACCTTACTTACATGTATCTAAATAGTAAAATATTTGTGAAAAATATTTTTTAAATTAATAAATGTATAAAAATATGAAAAATGTACTGAATTTTTATATATTTTTATATTTTTTGGTATTTAGTGTATTTTTTTTTAATTTTTTTCACAAATATTATATTTTTTAAGTGTATTTATATTAGGTGTGTCTAAAAATTAAAAAAAAATTACTTAAAATATTAAAAAAATCATCGAAAACATTAAAATATAAAAAATAAAATTTTCTAAAAATTATTTTTTGAAAAACAAAACCAAACAATATTTTTTCATCTTTAAACTTATATATGTTATTCTTGATTATTTGTATTTGATTATTCCCCAAGGACTATTTGTTACAATTTTTGGGATGATTATAACTTATTTTAATTTGAAAGTTTTTGTCAAACTGTTTGATAAAATTTCTATTTATAACTTATTAGATAAAAATAATTTAAATAAATAAAAAAAATTAAGTATTTAAAAGGAAAAATCGGTCTAGGTTCCCTCTCCCACTTTTCGTAATGGAAGGGATTCACAAAATTATTTTTTTAATGTCTAAGGTCCATAAACATATATCAGAGAAATTTCAGTCCTTTATACTATCTTCATCATCTGACCCATCGCCACCCCAACAACCTGACTTTGAGTCCTCATTTCCCAACACTTCCTAAAGCTTTACCGAGTGGAGATTCCCACTCCCAAACTCACTCATCTCACACCACTCTCACCCACCACCACCACCACTGTCGTCGGAATTTGACCCATCACCACCCCAAACCCACCACCATTCTTACCCACAACCACCGCCTCCAGAACTCTTCCACCTCACTAAGCTCCAACTCACTTCAGACTCCGATTCTGACCGACTCAACGCCCTCCACATGCTTGAATGCTGGCTTGTTCCGAATCCCCCCACAGCTGCCGCGGCCGTGGAACAGAGGCGATGAGGTGGCCTGTCCATGTCATGCTCGACACCCAGTATTTCCATGTCATCGAATATCTCTAGAAATAGATTAATCGGAGCAATGTTGTGGCAGAAGATCAGATGCGCTTCCGACCATTACTGTTGATGATGGATTGTTGAGTTCAACTAGAGAATTTCTCTGGTTTCAATCCAGAGAAAATTCAGTTTTCTTTTACCTAGAGACTGTAAATTTGATCTTGAAGTTTCAATTCTGTGCATGAATGTAAAATAAATGGTATTTTTCTTCAGGTAGTAACTCTATGGCACAAACCACTCGAAATCCTCCTATTCTCAACATCTTAGATGATAACGCATTTGCATCAGCCAGATCACAGACCTTATCAATAAATGCTTCATTGCTTTCAGCAACTACAGAGGATGCATGCACTTATTCCTGCTTATAAAATGCACATAGTTGATCCAAAAAATCCAGCACCTTTGCCTTATGACTGCACAAAAGTAAGCATTGAGTTACAGGAAATATTAGGGGAGGGGGCAAATATTTCCATATCCAGATGCCATAAGGAATACAGAAACAACTTTGGATTAAAATACCTATATGACGATGCAGCGACTTCAGAAGCCTTCATGAAAAGGAAATTGGGAAAACTCGCACCTGGATTAGCATTAAATAGCATGCCTAAGCGAGCATTTTTAAAACCTTCTATCTGTGACACAGTGAAAGCTTTTAACAACATTTGGTGGAGGATCAAACCCACGGCAGAGAAATTTGAATTTTCTTTGGAGTCCATGAAAGGCTAAGGAGGCCACTCTGAATTGATGTTGAGGAACCTTAAACATCATGAAAATATTTGATATCATTTATACTATAAAATCATAATATCAGGGACCTTAAAAAAAATACCCCTATTTAAAAACTAAAATAAGAATGCTATTTAATTTTACTTTCTTAGGGTCTGTTTGGTAACGTTTACTTTTTCAGTTTATATTTTCAAAAATTTTATAAACTGGTTTTTGTTTATTTTTAGAAAACATAAGCTACAAACGCGTTTGGTAATTGACAAAATGTTTAAAAAATTTTAAAAATATAAAAAAGAGTGAGAAATGGCAAATGGTGGCGGAAGACAGTGGTGGAAAGTGGTGACGGTGGGTGGTGGGTAGTGGGTGATGGTAGGTGGGTGGTGGTGGTGGGTGAGTGGGTGACGGTGGCAGGTGGTGTGTGGTAGTGAGTGGGTGGTGGTGGTGGCGGGTGGGGGGTGGGAGTGGATGGCGGATGGCGGGTGATGGTGGTGGTGTTGGGTGGGTGGGTGACGGTGGTGGGTGGTGGCGAGTGGGTAGTGGTGGTGGCGGGTGGTAGGTGGTGGTGATAGGTGGGTGGTGGGTGGTGGTGGCAGGTGGGTGGTAGGTGATGGTGGTGGGTGACGGGTGGGTGGCAGGTGGCTGGTGGTGATTGGTGGATGGTGGTGACAGGTGGGTGGTGAGTGGTGGTGGCAAGTAGGTGGTGGGTGGTGGCGCGTGGTAGTGGTGGCGATGGGTGGGTGGTGGTGGCGAGTCGGTGAGTGGGTGATAGTGGGTGGTGGTGGCAGGTGGGTGGTCGAATGGTGGTGGTCGGTGGTAGTGGGGGGTGGTGGTGGTGGTGGTGACGGAAGACGGTGGTGGAAAATAGTGACGGGTGGTAGCTAGTGTTGGGTGGTAAAAAAAAAATTGAAAACTGAAAACGGAAACGTATTTTTTGACTTTATATTTTTTGGCTAAATTTATAAACTGAGACCACTGATTTATAAATTAAAAATTTATCAAATAAATTTTTATTTAAATTTTTAAAATATAAACAAAAATTGAAAATGCAAGTGTTATCAAAGGGTAGCTTTTTTAAAATATAAATAAAAATTAAAAATGCAAGTGTTATCAAAGGGTAGCTTATTATTAACTTTTAATTTAAAAAAACCTCTACTAAACAGGCCGAAAGAACTTTCCAGAAACCAATCGCCAGCCTACAAGTCCCTCGTCACGCCTTTTCCGATTCTCTACATAAGCCCCCCACACTCTCTCTCTCTGCATAAAATTCGTCAGCAACACTCTAGAGCGAGAAAGAGAGACTGATATGGCAGACGAAGCAAAGGCCAAAGGCAACGCGGCCTTCGCCGCCGGAAACTTCACGGAGGCGGTCGACCACTTCACGGGGGCGATCAGCCTCGCTCCGGACAACCACGTCCTCTACTCCAACCGATCCGCCGCCTACGCCTCCCTCAACCAGTTCTCCTTGGCCTTGTCCGATGCCCTAAGCACCGTCGGTATCAAGCCTGACTGGTCCAAGGCCTACTCTCGCCTTGGCGCTGCCCACTTGGGACTCCGCAACTACAACGAAGCCATCTCTGCCTACAAGAAGGGCCTCGAAATCGACCCCAACAACGAAGCCCTCAAGTACGGCCTCGCAGACGCCGAGTCCGCCGCCGAGTCCGCAGCCCGATCTCGCGCTGCGCCGCGGCCACCAGCTTCTCCCTTCGGAGACACGTTTTCTGGCCCTGAGATGTGGGCCAAGCTCACTGCCGATTCGACCACGAGAGCGTATCTGCAAGAGCCTGATTTCGTGAAAATGATTCAGGAGATTGAGAAAAACCCTAGCATGTTGAATCTGTATTTGAAGGATCAGAGGATTTTGCAAGCTCTAGGTGTTTTGTTGAATGTGAAGATGAGGACGCCGAACTCGGCTGAAGATGCAGATGTTCCTAATGCGCAGGAGAGGAAGAGGCCAGCTGAGGCGGAGCCGCCGAAGGGGAAGGAGCCTGTGGAAGTACCGGAGGAGGGAGAGAAAGAAGGTAGAGAGAGGAAGGCACAGGCGCAGAAGGAGAAGGAGGCTGGTAATGCGGCTTACAAGAAGAAGGATTTTGATACGGCAATTGAGCGATACACGAAGGCGATTGAATTGGATGATGAAGATATTTCGTTCCTCACGAATCGCGCAGCTGTGTACTTGGAGATGGGCAAGGTATGCTTGAATCATGATTTTATTATTATTTTTTTTATTTTTCTTTCTACTTCAATGATCACTGCAGTGTTTGAGTTAGTATGTTTGCATTATTGCCTCGAAGAAATGATTTACATGGAAACTGTGATGTATTTAACCTTGTTTATACTTGTTAATGAAGAAATTCTCAAAACTGAATTCATCAATCCAAGAAATTAAGAAACTATATTGAAAGTAAATGGAGAAGAAGATGAAGAAGAAGATTTCATTTCTTGAATCTGTATTAATGGACGATGATAATACATATACATAAATACATATGTATGTATGTATGTATGTATGTATGTATGTATGTATGTCTCCAATGCAGAGAGTAACTAACTTCCTAATGCCAGCTCACTTTATTCTAACTAACCAACCTCAACTGACTCACCAAACCATCCTTATCTCCACTAACTGAATTTGTAACTGATTGTGAACCACCTAAGCTTCCTTGGGCCTCTGGTGTGTATTCTCTAAGTCTTGCAGGGCTTTTCCCCTTTACAGTTAATCTTCTTTACTATTGTTCTTGGTGATTAGTTTGATTTGCTATATTTGTTACCTGACATTTATTTGCATTAGAGAAGTACCGTTTAAACATACGATAGATATGTGTTTTGTCATTGCTCTCAGTTTATTATATGAGGCATAGTGTTGATTCACTATGACAAATACTAAAGTTGATTACGAGTTAGGAAGAGATAATGATTTGAGAAATGTATACGTTTATTAGGGTTGAACTTGTTTTTTATTTATTTTTCCTGTTTTTGCTAGGTGAATGACAATGATATGTACTAATTGTGAGCTTATTTAATATATTTGTCTTGTAGATTTGTTATGTCTTATAAGTTTTGAAGTTTGATGTCCACATTAGGCTTGTAAATTGAGTGTAGGCAGAGTTTTTTTACATTATAATATTTATTCTTTTTGTCCGTTTACTTTTTTTCTTCCTTTTACTGTTTGAATTGGGTTAGTTTAGCCTCGTTTGAGTGAACTTGGCCTCTGTAATCATTGCCTTTGTATGGATTATTTTGCTTCATATTCTGGAACTGTGCATAGAAGTTTGCTAGATTGTTGATGTTGAAGGAAAGTCTTAAACAGAATGATGATGTTGTTTGTAGACACAGATTTTCTGTCTCAAACATGAGAGTTACATATTTACTGGTTAACAAGATTATCATTCTTTTAACAACTGTATTTGATGCCAAAAAGAAGACAATTTGCAGTGGCACATCAAGTTGCTTCAACAGTAAGAAAAGTAATTGCACAAAACAAAAATCATAGTGAAACACTTTATAACAGGATTTGGGAGACTTGATAGGATAGGATAACATCTCAAGGAGGCATCTAGAAATACCCATGTGATTCTGTGTGTGGATGTTCTTGGATGTGTGAGATGATGTTTTGGTGTTTTTTATTGACTTAATAGAGAAAGTTATGTATCAGGTTTTGAGGAAGAACATTAAATGATTTTTGTGTAGATAACTTTCTCTGTATTTTTTTCTGCATTAGAGTTACTTGAGGATAGAGTAACGTGTTGATTTAGATTTAGACTGGCATGAGTGAATAGTGGTATCTGTGTCCATTATGGTGCTGACATTTTATTGTTTGTGTTGATAATGTGAGAGAAAATAAAAGAAGGCTATACAAGCGGATTTTTTACTGAATTTCTTCTTGTTAAGATCTGTATGCATGCTGTACATTATATTGCCACTTTTTGCTGTTCTTGATGATTGTTATGCTTCGCCAATTACACTTACACAGGGATATAGACAAATAATTGTCAGCAGTTATGATTTTCTCCATTCGCTTGGTGTTACTGATGTTGGATGGCAGAGTGGATTTGTTTTACAATTGGCATGAATCGCATAAGAGTTTAGGGGTGGCGATTTATAAAGCTGTTATAGAGTTGCAGTTGTCATCAATTGCATGAGAAGATATAGCCATCGACAATTGCTTGAATTCTTCCTTTGAAATTATGCTTAATCGTGAATCACATGGCATTACTGATATTGGTTGGCTACTTAATATTTAAAGAGTTGTAGGGGTAAGGGACGTGTTTCATTTCATATGTAATCGGACTCATTTATGGAATGCATGGTACAAACCTAGATTGATATGTTTGTACTTGTTTTATGTTGAAATTGGCTGCCGTCTAATTTATGTCTTGAACCTGTTTTCACCCAGATGGACTTATCTAGTCAATGTGTTTTTTTGTTCAGTATGATGAATGCATTAAGGATTGTGATGAAGCTGTTGAAAGGGGAAGGGAGCTTAGGTTGGACTATAAGATGGTTGCAAGGGCCTTGACAAGAAAAGGAACTGCAATAGTGAAAATGGCGAAGTGTTCAAAGGACTATGAACCTGCTATTGAAATGTTTCAGAAAGCTCTTACAGAGCATCGCAACCCAGACACATTGAAAAGGCTCAATGATGCTGAAAAAGCAAAGAAAGAACTGGAGCAGCAAGAGTATTTTGATCCAAAATTGGCTGATGAGGAGCGTGAGAAAGGTACTCTATTAGTCCGGGGTATTCTTCTTATTTGGGGATTCTTCACTAACCTCTCTGTTTGTGTTTTTGTGGTCTAGGTAATGAGTATTTTAAAGAGCAAAAGTATCCAGAGGCTATTAAACATTATACGGAAGCCCTAAAGAGGAATCCCAACGACCCAAAGGTAACTAACACGAGTCTTGTGCCTGTTTTTGTAATGTCTATATAAAGTACACTGGCATAAACAAGTACTGAAGTCATCATTTCTTAGGTAAAAATCTTGTTCCTGATTGATCATTAAAGTTTGCGTCTCTCTGTTGTTTTTTTTCCCAGGCATATAGTAACAGGGCTGCATGCTACACAAAACTTGGGGCAATGCCTGAGGGACTGAAGGATGCAGAGAAGTGCATTGAGCTTGATCCAACTTTTGCCAAGGGGTATAGTAGAAAAGGTGCGGTCCAGTTTTTCATGAAAGAGTATGATAAAGCTTTGGAAACATACCAACAAGGGTTGAAGCTTGAGCCTCAGAACCCAGAGTTGCTAGATGGTATAAAGAGGTATGGTGACCTGGATGTAGTTACCATTCTTTTAGTTCTTGATTTGTAGGTGCACCACTACTAGAATTTTCATGATGACTGGGAGTACTTATCAAAACTGTTTGCAGATGCGTGCAACAAATTAACAAGGCTAGCCGGGGGGATCTAAGCCCTGAGGAACTTAAGGAGAGACAGGTATGCCTACATTCAATGGTGTTGGGTTTGTCTGGTTCAAGCCAATTTTGAATTGAATATAGATATAAACATGAGCTATCTTTGCAGGAAAAGGGGATGCAGGATCCAGAAATTCAGAACATCCTCACAGATCCTGTTATGAGACAGGTATGGAGTAGTAGGGCTTTAAAAGGTGTTTGTTTACATGATGATATAGGATTTTGGTTCCAAATTTGAATTGTTACCTTGTTTAAACTGTGCCTAATTGGTCTGGTGGGGCTGTGGACAGGTGTTGAGCGACTTCCAGGAAAATCCAAAGTCTGCTCAGGAGCATATGAAGAACCCGCAAGTGATGAGCAAGATTCAGAAACTGATCAGTGCAGGGATTGTCCAGATTAAATGAATATGAATGGAGAGTTACATACAGTAACATAGACAAAGCATTTAACATCTGTTAATTGTTTTTACCTTGTGTGTATTTTTTGTGGATCAAGTGGTAGAAACGTATTGCATTGGATAAATATCTCAATGTTGATGATTTTGATATAGTTGTCTGGAGAACTCTTCGGTTGCTTTCACACTCTTTTAAGTCTTGTTTTGATTTGATATGAAAAGAGATGCCAACTTTGTTTAAGATTTCTCTCTGCTTTTTTTGTATGCTTGCGATTGGAGAATTTATTTGTTTGCATAATTTGGATCACTAATGGCCTGTTAGGTTGAAAAATTTAGAAAGGGATTTGGAAAAGAAAAAGATAAGTGAAATGAGAATAAAATATATTTATATTTTATTTAATTTCATATTTTCATACTTTTCTTTTTATTTTTAAATTACTTTTTTTCTTTTTATTTTTATATCTTATTCCAAATTTTCTAACCAAACAGAGTACGAGTGAATGTGTCTTTGCATCATTTGTTAATTTGTGTAAAAAATTTTTTTAGAAAAAAACAAGTGAACCTAAGTGACATTTGGCGACTCAGGTAACTAGCCTAAATTCCCTCAATTGACCCAACATTAGATGATTGGCCCAGATTTGGTTTGACCTGTTTTGGCATTCCACCTGGCACCCACCCAACTGCTGGCTGCTAGGATCATATTAAGGATTTCTAGAATATAGAAGCTTCACACTGCTTTTTTCTCTGATTTATATTTTTTATTTTTTACTCTTATAATTGCTGTCTTTTCCATGGGCAATTATTAGTGAGACATATGTATGTTAATTAGGAGATAAAAGAATGCCCCACTTAAGTTGTGTTTGGTCTAGAAAGGAATTTAGAAAAAAAAATAAAAAGAGTAGTAAAATGTAAATCTCTTTCTAAATCCATAATCGAACACAGCCATAGTGTGTTGCTGTGTTGTGCTTATTGGTCGGGAGTACCATAGACCATCAACATTGTGAAAGTTAATTTCATTACATTTATGAATTTGGTACAAATATCAAGTTAAAAAAAGAGTGGGGAAAAAAAAAAAAGTTTGTTCCAAGTAAAGGTGTTTGAGATCAGCAAAACAAGATTAAGCAGCAACTGATTCCTCTTTTGCTGCTGCGAGCTGGTTCTGGATGTGTTGCGGGACAACATCAAACTTGGCTAATTGCATAGTGTAGGAAGCCCGGCCTTTTGTCATTCCCCGCAGCGTACTGACATATTGAAACATCTCTGCTAGTGGTACGAGCGAATCAACCACCTACAACAATCCGACAATATCACCAAAAACAAAGTTCAGATACGGAATAAATCACTAAGTCTGCCATTTTATTCAGCATCCATAATTGGTATTCCACGTACCTTGAGACCGCCAGGTTTATCGCCAAAGCTGTTGATCTGGCCTCTCCTTGAGTTCAGATCACCGATCACATCTCCCAAGTGTTCTTCAGGGGTTACAACTTCAACTTTCATTATGGGCTCTAGCATCTTCGGAGCAGCTCTCTTCATACCTTCCCGAAAAGCTCCTCTTGCCGCAAGCTGGAATGCCAACACACTTGAATCAACATCATGGTAAGAACCATCCACTAATGCAGCACGGACGTCGACAACGGGAAAACCTGCAAGCACGCCATTACTCATGCACTCCTCTAATCCTTTTATCACTCCCGGAATGTATTCTTTTGGCACTGCACCTCCCTTAATTTCACTCTTGAACTCGTATCCGCTACCAGGTTCCAAGGGCTCAAACCTTACAGTGATATCAGCAAATTGTCCTTGCCCACCTGACTGTTTCTTGTGAACATATTTCACTTCTGAGACTTTAGAAATGCTTTCACGGTAGTTTACTTGCGGTGCACCAACATTAGCTTCTACCTATGAGTGGCAAGAGGAAACTCAAATTATGATAGCTCAGATTAACACATCCAAAACCTCTGTAATCGGGAAAAAAATATGATGTGAATGATATAACTCTCAATAGATTTTTTTATTATTTGTTATTATTTAAAAACCCATAATTTTCAAATAAATGAATAATGATTTAGGGTGTGTGTGAACAAGCATGAAATTAACCAGAAACAGAAGCACATAAAGGCAGATATAAACCTTAAATTCCCTCTTGAGCCGATCAACAATAATCTCAAGATGCAATTCACCCATTCCTTCAATAACTGTTTGGTTGACCTCTTCATCACGTGAGAAGTGGAAAGAAGGATCTTCTTGAGCGAGCTTGATTAAGCCAGTTGCCATCTTATCAACATCTGCTTTAGTCTTCGGTTCAATTGCAACCTTTATAACAGGATCAGGGAAGTCCATCCTTTCAAGCACAATAGGCTTCTCGGGATCACACAACGTTTCTCCTGTAATGGTATCTTTTAGACCTGCAAGAGCAACAATATCGCCAGCTAAAGCTACCTTAACATCCTCTCTGCTGTTGGCATGCATCTCTAGAAGTCTACCGATTCTCTCTTTCTTTCCTTTGTTTGCGTTCAGTACATAAGAGCCTGCCATAAGCTTCCCTGCATATACTCTTACAAACGTAAGAGACCCCACAAATGAATCGCTCATGATCTTGAAAGCTAGACCGGCAAATGGTTCTTCATCACTTGCAGCTCTTTCAATTGTCACTTCTGGGTTATCAGGGTCTGTGCCATTCATTGGTGGCACATCAAGGGGTGAAGGCAAATAATCCACGACTGCATCTAGTAATGGCTGAACTCCCTTGTTTTTAAAAGCCGAACCACATAGAACTGGCACAAAAGAGGCTGAGATTGTACCTTTCCTAATTAGTTTCTTAATGGTTTCCTCATCGGGCTCAACTCCTTCTAAGTAACCCTCCATAGCTTCATCATCCAACTCAACTATGGTCTCTATCATTTGTGCCCTGTAGTCCTCAGCCAACTCTTGAAGATCAGCTGGAACATCTTCATACACAAACTTGGCACCTAGTTCTTCTCCTGACCAGATGATCGCTTTCATTTTCACAAGATCAATGACTCCTTTGAAATTATCTTCGGAACCTATGGGTATTTGAATTACAAGCGGTTTGGCACCCAAATTCGTCACTATCATGTCTCTCGTACGGAAAAAGTTTGCTCCAAGACGATCCATTTTATTAACGAAACAAATTCTAGGCACTCCATATTTATCAGCTTGTCTCCACACAGTTTCAGACTGGGGTTCCACACCAGCAACACTGTCAAACAAGCATATAGCACCATCCAAAACCCTGAGAGCTCGCTCAACTTCAAGTGTGAAGTCAACATGACCAGGAGTATCGATTATATTAATCCGATGCTTGTTCCAAAATGTGGTAGTTGCAGCGGATGTTATGGTTATACCTCTTTCTTGTTCTTGCTCCATCCAGTCCATCGTAGCCGTTCCCTCATGTACCTCACCAATCTTATAGTTTCTCCCAGTATAGTATAGAATTCGTTCAGTTGTAGTGGTCTTGCCAGCATCTATGTGAGCCATGATTCCAATATTGCGATAATCTTTCAAAGGTACACTGCGCTTTGTTTCTAAAGAAAAAGAAGGAAGAAATCAATGTTTGAAGTGCCAGCTTGTAGTAGAAATTTCAACAAGTGTCAATAGTAAACCATGATAATAACATTTAATCCAGGCCATTATTTGGCCAATATGGTTAGCATTAAAATCACTGAAAATTTCAGATTGTCATGCAAAATGCAATGCAGCAATTATCATAAAAAAAATAACAGTACAGGACCAGCATAGGAAGCCAAGATAAGTACAAATATTGCAGATTGTGCTACATCATTAGAGTTCAATCATACAAACATGGTGAAAAAAAGGACATGAAATTTTTTCTAACAGTAGTATCTCAACCTTTTTAAGTCTCAATATAGAAACGACTAAAACTCTATCATGTAAACTTCCACAGACATTTGAGAGCAACCATGTACACCATCATGAATAATTTTTCAAGAATCGCAAGAGAATACGGTTTAAAATCAACTCCCGAATATCTAATAACTGCTGAATGGAAACCTCCGGGTACCTAGGCTTTAGATATCCAAGATATAGAACAAATATTTGCATTCTTATACAGCATTAGTAAGTTATGCCCAAAATGAGACCATTTAAGCAGTACATATTTTGTACTCTTTGTAATGTACATACATGCCCTTTTAAAGTGTGGATGGTAAAATGAAGTAATTTTTAATTAAATATAATATCCAAAGGTTCCAAATTTCAATCACATTTAACCTAAATTGATCTTGTTACTTGTATGCCACAGAAAATAGGATGAAAAGGAAATTTCAATTGAAAATTTCAATAGAACAACGAAAAATGAGCAAACTTTGAAAGTACCAACTGACAATAACACCCAAATTAAATGAACCATATAACCTATATTGCATCTCCATTCCCAAATAATAATCCATTTAAGTACATAAAGTTCAACTAAAAGAAATACTTAAAAATTTACATCAGAATTCAAATAAAGAGCAAGAAATTCATAGAAAAATTCAATCTAAAGCAACAGCGACACAGAGGGTACTTTCAAATTCCTCCAATTTCCCAACTGATTGCCTAAAGGGTACACAAAATTCACTGCAAACAAACACTTATTCCATGAGAGAGAGAGAGAGAGAGAGAGAGACCTTCAGTGGCCATGGCGAAGACAGAGAAGTTCCTCCTATGCTTACTGGGTAGAGTTGAGAGGTTGGAAGGAGTGGTGGAGCTGAGACGGAGGCTTCCAAAGAATTCCGAGAGAGAAGAAGAAGAAGATGAAGAAAGAGAGTGGGTGCGGCGGCGGCGGTGGAGAGAGAGGAAGCGACGAGGAGAGAGAGGCAGAGGGGGCCTCCGAGAGGAACCATGGTTGAAGTTGCCAACTGAGGAAGCTGTAGACGATGCCGATGACATTCTCACCGACTCTGTCCCCATTCTTTTCTTTTGCTCTGCTCTTCTCTGCTCTCTGTTTTCTACTAGTGATTTGTTCTTCTCTCTCTCTCTCTCTCTCTGTTTCTCTCGGGTCGTCTGATTTGGGACCTTTGGGCTTTCGATTTCGGTTCTTCTGATCCGTAGATAAATCTTACGTGGTCTCAAAACATTTATCAAAACAAAACGATTGACATTTGTTTGCTTTAGAGTTTTTATTTATTTATTATTTATTTATTTTTTATAAAAATTGACTTTTTTTAATTATTTTTAAGAAAAAATTAGTCTAAAACCCTTCTTCCATTTTTAATAATGGAAGAGATCCACAATATTATTTTTTGATATCTAAGATTCCTGAACCCACATTTATATATGAGATCAAAGAAATTTGACTCTCTCTCTCCCGGATCACTATCACCATGCCTCTCTCATTTCTCGGTTAAACTGAGTGAGAGAGTAATCTTCGAATTCTAGAGAGAGAAAGTGGCTATGGCAACCTCGCTTCTCTTTCCTCTCGCAACTTCAGCCATTACCACCGACAACCGCAAACTATCCACTGCTATTGGCGTCCCGAAGAGCTCTTTCCTTCACGGTATCAAGCCCCATTTCGCGCCATCTGCGGCAAATTCGAGAGCGAGCTCAACTCGGAGATGCTGTTTTAGGTCTCCGAGGTCTTCGAAGCCTCTTGACCACGTTCCGAAGCGGTTTCGATAGAAAAACCTCAAAAAAGGATGTGAGTCGCCAATTCAAACACACTATTCTCTTTTTCAGTATTGTGTTTTGTTTTACTCCGTTCGTTCTAGCTTTGGCTGCATAGTTTGCTTTCTTGATGACTGAATTTGTATTTATAATATCTCAGAAACTTGAAAACTAGAGCTCCGTTGAAATCTAGGGTTTCTTTTTTATATTCATGTATAGCCGAGCAATTAGAATATGTTTGGGAATCGAGAAAAGAAAAGAAAATATTGTATTGTGCTATCTCGTTCTTGTGAATCATGGAACACATTTTGCCTGAGGTTTATGATTTTCAACCAGAAAAGATTGTGAGGGGGAATTTCTTTGGGTTAGAGAGGAGGATTTTCTTTAGTTCGAGTGAATTTCTCTAGGTTGGAAGGAGATTTTCTCTGAGTTTGAGTGAATTTCTCTAGGGTGAATGGGGGAATTTCTTTGGTTTTGAAGAATTTCTCTAGGTTGAAGTGTCCAGAGAAATCATGAATTTTCTTTTAATTGAAATTTTCTCTGGTTGTTCAATTTTCTCTATATTGAACTTTTCTCTAGTTGTTCAATTTTCTCTAGATTGAAATTTTCTCTGGTTTGAAAATTTCTTTGTGATGTGTCTAGAGCAATTTGGAATCACAGAAAATTTTGAAATTTTCTCTGTGATTTGTCAAGAAAAATTTTCTGGATAGAATTTTCTCTGGATCGATATCAAGGGACCTTAGGCATTATGAAAAATATTAACTGTCATTTATGCTATAAAATTATAATACTAGGAATCCTAAAAAAAATTCCCAATTTTTAATATGAAATCTTTATATTAGAGGTCAGTATGCAATTTGTAATTTAATATAATAATTATAACAATTATTTAAAAATAGTTAAAGAGAATCGAAAGAGTTTATGGTAGTTATTATATTATTCTTGAGCATTTTTAGAGGAAAAGAAGAAAAGAAAAAAAAAAAAAAAACCTTTACATCAGCAGCAGCAGAGATGTTTTTTTTTGTATTTATTTATTTGTATTTTTTAGCATAGATTATTCTCTTATTCACCTTCTCTCCACTTTAAGGTGATAATCAAACATAAGAAACATTTTTTTGTTGAAATATATATATATATATATATTTTATTGGAAGAAACAAAGTGTTAATGAATTTTTTTTTTTCCCATTAAAAAAAGAGCAAGGGGCTGCAGAGATACCACGTACGGCAAATTTACAGCCTCATTGGAGGAGGGAAGGTGGGCCTCACAAATAGAGTTTTCATATCCAAAACTTTTTTTGTGGTGCCAGTGCCATAGCGGCCCACTAGGTCCATAGTAGTTGTTTGGTACTTGTACGTGGGCTAGATATGCCCTTCATGTCCAACAGTAAGAACGAGAGAGTCCAAGCTCAGGAGAAATTTCAATTATATCATAAAATACTAGGCACTGGTTAGCATTAGCTTAAATCAGCATGGTTGTGTGTAATTCAAGTAAATAATAATAAATAAATAAAAAAGGTTAATATCACAATATATGTGATGTTTGAAGTGATACACTTCCTTCCATATTTTATCTCACCATATTTATCCATACTCCTCTTGTAGATCTCCATTCAAACTTATTTTAATGATTCAAACAGTCTACTTCATAAGTTATATAATAAAGGTTATCTATACAAAAAATTAGATTTTTTGGATAATTATAAATAAATCACATTTCATTTTATAAAATAAATAGTTTAAGTTTACAATCTTATACCATTCATTTTATAGATATGTAAATTTGTTTTATCGGACAACTATCATTTTATAAAACAAAATATAATTTGTTCTTATATTTATAGATGTTCGATGAAATTAATTTTTTGCATTGATGATCTTTATTGTGGAACTTATAAAGTAGATGGTTTGGACCATCGACTTGAGTCAGAATTTAGGCACACAAGAAGAGTATAGATGAGTATAGAGAGATACAGGTATAAAGGGGAGCTTATCCTGATATTCAAATGGTAAGATTTTTACTTCTTAGACCTAATATTTTGATTTTGAGTCTTATATATTTCTCTGTATAAATTTTCATTTTAATGAAAAATTTACATATCACATGACATAAAATAAAATAAAAATTTCAGATTACTAAGTCTAACCTTTGTTTTATATAATAGTATAATTTTTTTTCTATGCTGGAAGTTGTGCTCATTGATTCAAATGGAACAATTCTTTCTTTGAGTGCCCCATGAGAAATTTGTAGCCCCCAAGAAATGAATTTAATAGTAACCTTAAACTAAAGGAAAAGGTAAACCATAGTGCCATTGGTCCCATACTCTTTTATCTTTGAACAACAATGCTGTGAACGACATACAAAATCCACATCAAATATAATTTTTTATTTTTTATTTTTTATCATATCACATTTATTATAATAAATTAATATTTTAGAAATAAAAATTTAAGGATAAAATATTTTAGTTATGAAAAGTGTCATTATTATATTTTTAATGATAAAATTGAACATTTAGTAATAAATTATTATCCTTTTGTGATTAAATCTTTTGTTTTAAAAAGTAAAACATTTTTTGCACCATGTTATTTGATTTTTAAAAGTGTATTTATTAGCAATATTTTGAAAATTATCTCTAAAATTAATTTTTTTTTTAATTAAACTTTTCAAGATGATATTTTAGCAACGACTCTTGCAGTGATAGGAATTGATCATCAAATATTTTTACAATAAATTTTTTACTTTTAGAGAGAAAAAAAAAATTTCTTCAAACTATTATATGTTATAGTCACATAATAAATTATAACCAAACCGTACATTTTCTATATACTTTTCTCTATTATGTTTCTGTCTGTGGTGGCATAAAAATTACCAGCTTATTAGGGGTAACCTAAACAATTCCTAACAATGGGTCCAGTCCAAACAAGGAAGCCCATCAAACAAATATCACATCCTCATCTATAGAAGGAAGGCACCCATGGAATATAAATATCCCTCATCTCTCTGCAACACATAGCACACAAACACTCTTCAACTCTTCATCTATTTTTCTTGATTCACGTGATTAGCTTTATCATCGGAGTATTCCCAGCAGGCAACCCAGGTTGGGTGGTGCCGACCATATTCATCTTTGCAAATCTACAGGAGTTTAGCTCATCTCTTTATTGGATCTCATCAACAATCCATGTGAGAGGATTTTGGGTCTCACAATTTGCGCCGTCTGTGGGAATCGTCTGAAAGAATTCAATGAAGAGGAAAACAAACACCAACCTTAAGGAGCTCAGACTAGTGTACACTACAAGAATTTACACATTTTGTTACCACTTTTGCCGACCAAAAAAATTTTGGTCGCAAAAAAATGACATTTGGCGACCAAATATTAATTAGTCGCGAATGATCTTTATTTTTGGCGACCAAATATTATTGGTCGCAGAAGGTTATATTTTGGCGACCAAAAAATAAGTTGGTCGCAGAAAGTGGTATGCTTTTGCCGACCAACTACAAATTTGGTCGCGGAAGTTCACATTTTTTTTGGCGACCAAAAATTTGGTTGCCAAAAACTTATTTTCAGCAACCAAAAAAAATTAATCGCCAAATTAGTACTTTTAACGACTAATATTTTAGTCGCCGTTGATTGAGATTTGGCGACTAAAAAAATTTGTCAGCGAATGTACTTTTTTTGCGACTAATATGGTCTTTTGGTCACCAAAAACCTATTTTCAGCAACCAAAAAAATCAGTCGCCAAATTAATAAATTTAGCGACTAATATTTTAGTCGCCGTTGATTGAGATTTGGCGACTAAAAAGATTTGTCAGCGAAGGTACCTTTTCTGCGACTAATATTTTCGTCGCCAAATATTAATGAAATTTATTTACTTTTGATCTTTGCCGACCAAAAAAGTAGTCGGCAAAATACTTATTTTTAGTGACCAAAAACATTTTGTCAGCAATAAAGTTAAACAATTTCAAAAACACAGATTCATTTTTTGGTGGGAATACACTCTTACATTACCGCCCAATTTATTTTCTATCAATATGTACATAGACCCAAACAAGTTCAGTCTCTTACTCTGTCTCCCTCTCTCTTTCAGACTCACCATCGTTGATTCGTCGTTCACAGTCACCGTCGGTCTTCCACCGTCGTTCACCCTCGATCTTCCACTGTCGCGCATCATTACAAATCAAAGTGCAACAATGGTAACCTCTCTCTCTCTCTCTCTCTATATATATATATATATATCTATATCTCTATACATACAAATATATGTGTAGCTAATTTCGAATTAGATTTTGATTTTGATTTAGATTTAGATTTCTTTCAATCTTGTTTTCAATTCTAACCTCCTTTGCTAATGGAATTAATTATTGTTCTCACCTCCTTTGCTAATGGACTCCTCAGAAGTCATTTCGTGAGTATATTCCTTCTCCACCGTGAACAACCACCATCAGCCCTCTTTTTCCTTTTACCCCTGTTGCTCCCCCCTCCCTCTCTCTCTCTATATATATATTATATAATTGTTATATGAATTTGGCTATGGTGAGAGTATGTGGACGACCTGTTCGACGAAATTCCAATATGGGTTTTGAATTAGAGAAATCATGATAGTCTGTTGGATGAACTGGGTTTGGACTGATTGTCTTTTGATTATATTAAAAGATGTTGGAAATAAGAAGAATACAAGGAATGTTAAAATTATATAAGCAATATGAATTTATTGCTTTATAGTTTTGTTTAGCTTGGAGTGGGCACAAAATTCAGTAGTTTTCTGCTCACCTCACCTCCAAGTGAAAAGATGTTGATAAAGGATGAATACATCCTGGTTTGGTTTTAATTCAGTTTTTTATTTTATTTTATTTTTTTATACCCATTAATTCTTGCTTGATTTTGTCAAATATGCAGCTTTTGGGCGAGCTTAACATGGGAGGTGTGAAGGCAGATGGTGGTGACGGTACTTCAACTTAAATTCAGATATAATCAGTTTTTTATACCCATTAACAGAAGCAATAATATTAATATATTTTTTGGTTTAATGAAGAACAAAATGGGATAAAACGTCTCATGGAAAATCAGTCAGATATTTCAGGTCATCTTTTTTGCAGCTTCTGTTAAAGTCATGCAAGGTATGTCTCATTCATTTATATACCAAACTATATTTCATGTTAATATTTTTTTCCTCAAATGTTATCTTTTATTTTTATTTTTACTTTAAACAAAGAGTGGTTTAAAGGAGAAAGCAACAGCATTGAAACAAGCTATTTACAATATATTGCAGGAGGAGATAGAAAGTTCTTACAGTGTAAAACTTCGGGAGTCAAAAAATTCACTGAGCTGGTAGTCTTTTTTGAGCTTTTAGCTTTCTAGGATTGTGCCATAAGAAGTAAGTGAAAATTATGTAAAGTGTTATTACTCTATTTTTATGTTGTGAAATTGTGTCTCGAAGAATCCAGTAGAATTAAAAAGAACATTGACAGTTATGTAAAGTATCATGATGTCAAACCATTACAGTTTCCCTCTCTATTTGTTGATCTTGGTCTTTTATTTATTTATTTATTGTTGATAAATCTAGAACTGACCACTTTTGAGATTGAAAGAAATGATTTGGTTAAATGTTTAGCAGAATTGGAATGGATTGAAAGCAACCAAATAGTGTCTCTGTTGTGTTGAGAGTTGAACATTGCTTTCACTTGTGCATTGCTTTCTATTTGATTAACATTGCTTTATAGTGTCTCTGATTAACTTTTGGAGCTGTTCTTATTTGGAAAAAGAATTATGGTGTAGTGCCTATTATTTATCCATTGGCTGGTATAGAAATTTTTTCAAATATAATACCATACTCTTGTTTACAGTTGAGCACATGTTTTGACTAATCAAATAAGAATTATGGTATAGTGCATATGTTTTGACTAATCAAATAAGAATTATGGTATAGTGCACATGTTTTGACTAATCAAATATGGTGTAGTGCACATGTTTTGACTAATCATGTTTTGACCACATAATTACTCTGCAAACCATAGATCCCCAATACCAAAAATCTGTTACTAAAATGTGGGACCTCTAGTGATGTTTAGAATGTCTCATGTCATTTCTTTATGTCAGTAGCTTTAGGGGAATTGAGTTCTATCCTTTTTTGTATTTTTCTTTCATGATCTTGTCAATTGACCTTGCTTCGGGTCTTTGTCATTTTTGTAAAGCTATGGTTATCATTTTTGCATCATATTTGTTTTAGTATGATCTACCGTTGTTGATTGTGTTATCCTTTGCACTTGTACTAATGTCAGATGGTTTCTCCTAATGCTAATTGCCTATATGTGGTTGAAGCATCTATGGCACATAGATGATCAAATAAATCCTTAGTCTATGCTATATGATTTTTTTTCACTAGCACTTTATTTACCTTCAATGGCATCTGTTACAGCTAAAAATATTTGCAGGATTGGCCTTTCCTCCCCTTTACTTCTACAATGGAGGAGTTAGAGAGTTCCTTGCTATAATAAAGCAACATGTTTTTATTGCGAGGTAGGTTGTTTTTAATTTTAATTGTTCTTTTAAACTTGAAATCCTTTGATTGTGAGTAATGAGCATAGTTGGAGATAGAATAAATTTGTTTTTTGGACTAGAATATATATTTTTTATTATTGCAATATGAATGTCGAATTCCCTAGTTTGTTTTTCTAACAATCTATTTTAATTTAATATGATTGATTTTTGTTCATTTGAACCACATAAAATTGTTATTAAGGCAACAAATAAAATTGCCCATTCAATACAAAGTTGTGCTTGAAAATTGGATCACGTAGTATTAGATTCGGGTTGGGATTCCACAGTCCTATAAGATCTAACTGGTTATAGAAGAGTCATGTAACACAGATAATCATCGCAAACAACTGGTTATATGGACTTTCCAGAAGAGTTTGTTAAATATTAGGCAATTAAAACTTTATCTACCCTGTTAAAGTTTGTTTCTCAAAGAATTATCTATAATTAGAGATTAATAAGTTGTTAGTTGTTAATTATTAGAGGGTTTGTTGAATCATGTACCTATAAAATATAATATGGTGCATAATTTGGATTCCAATAAAAAAAATCAATCTTCACCGAGAGGTTGTCCTGGGAGCAAATATATAATGGAGCTTTAATTTTGTTTATTATAGGTCATCAGATGTAATTTTGCCTATCACTATAAAAAAAAAGGGGAAAACTACAAATCAGTGCATGTGATAAAAATAATTTGCAATATCTGGTAGTGCAACTCTTTTTGTGAAAAAAACACAGCAAATGTTACATCCCAAGAAGATTCTCACCATTTTAGCAAGTATTTGCCACACTTCCCACTGAATTGTAATCTCCCCTAGAAAAAATGGTGGAAATAAAGAAAAGCAAAGGAAAATGAGAAAAGTTCTTTAGAATTTGTTGAGATCCCATGCATGTTGTTTAACATAAATATGGCGCTAGCGTTGAAATTTCAAAAATATATTTACTCCAACAGTCGGATCCGCTGTTGAGTGTGGTTCAGTTCTTATCTGATCCACACTACTCCAACAGTTTAGGGTGCTAAATTGTATTGAAATTGAATATCCCAACCTGTTGTGCTTAATTGCCTTTACTCATAGTTTAGGGTGCTTCTTGATCCAATTCACTTTCACTCAGTTCTTGAACTTGTGTACCAACAGGAAGATCGTGCAAAATGTGCTGCGCGCAAGAGAATCGGGAAAAGGGGTTCTCACTGCTCCTTTCAGGTTACTCAAATCAAATCGCCTGGGAGTCATATTGACTTTTGCTATCTACAAGATAGATCTCCCCTCAAATGCAACATCAAGTGAGAGGATTCAAGCAACTGATGGGTATGTTGTCTGCCCAAAAATCAAACTTGTCATTAGCTCCTTAAGGGGGAATATAGAAGAGAAGAAATAAATAAATATACAATGATGACAATTGTATAACTGATCCTATTCATAAAATAAATTGTATTAAAAAATATAAAACAAATTTATAGGTCATCGCAAAGTAAAATAGAATTAATTGAGTTGATGTACTGTCTTAGCTATAAATAATGAGTGCAGCTAGAAATTTCAGGATGCAGACAAGATTAGAAAGATTGAATTAGATAAGTACTTCATTTAATATTTCACTACTGCCAAGCAGGTACCTTGGCGGAGTCTTCGATATTGAATCAAATGTGGAGAAGTTGCTTCAACAACTTGCAAGCAAACAAACCATACTTGTGAATGTGTATGATACCACCAACTTTTCGCACCCTATCAGCATGTATGGCTTGAATGTATCAAATGATAAGTTACAACATGTTAGCACACTTAACTTTGGTGATCCGTTCAGAAAACATGAGATGCGTTGCAGGTGATCTATTTAATCCTATCTATTACTGTGTATTTTAGAGGGGTCAATGCAAGTTCTTAGATTGAGATTCAAAGTGATAAAATGGACTTACAACTAAGTTTGTTCTTGAAGCAGATTCAAACAAAAACCACCATGGCCATGGTTTGCGATGATGATTTCAATTGGTATCCTCGTAATTGCATTGCTTCTTGGGCATATAATCAACGCAACAGTGAATCAAATAGCCAAAGTTGAGGATGATTACCATGAGATGATGGAGCTGAAGAAATGAACAGAGGCAGCTGATGTTGCAAAATCACAGGTATTTGATAGTTGTAGTTCATGTATTGAAATTTTGTTAGGCTTCACCTAATATGTCTACATGGTTCTAATTGAATTTCAATCCTCTGTAGTTCCTTGCTACTGTGTCCCATGAGATCAAAACCCCAATGAATGGTGTTCTTGGTCAGTTTTTGTTATTGTCCTTTATCATTTTAAGTCATTTAAATACATTGCTTTGGGGAAAACATTAAAAAATTATTTAAAAATAAACAAAGAAAGTGGGGTTGTTGAGTGCTGTCTGTATATATGTTTATTTAACAGGAATGTTGCAGATGCTAATGGACACAGATCTGGATGTAACTCAACAAGACTATGTCAGAACTACATAGGGCAGTGGAAGAGCGCTGGTTTCACTAATAAATGAGCTTTTGGACCAAGCAAAGATTGAATAACGTAAGCTCGAGCTTGAGATTTACAGAGATATCTAAAGATCAAATCCATCAAGCTGATTCATAATTTCAAGCATAGTGCACTGAACCTCATTGTCTCCACCTACACCATCATCAAAACGTGCACCTCCTATGGCATCTAGTTCATCAAAAAACACGATACAAGCTTTTTTGGAACGTGCCATCTGAAATAGTTCACGAACCAGACGAGCACCCTCCCCAACATATTTCTTAACAAGTTCACTTCCAATAACACGGATGAAACACGCATCAGTTCTATTAGCCACAGCTCTAGCTAAAAGTGTCTTACCGGTACCAAGTGGACTATAGCATATAACACTCTTAGGAGGGTCAATTCCGAGGTTCACAAACTTTTCGGGATCATTCCTTTGAAGTAACTACATAAGGACAAACAAATAAACCATAAACAAAGAAAAAGAAAAGAAAAGAAAAGAAACGAAAAAACAGAGAAAACCATAAATAAGAGGAAGATTGTTTTCAACATTGTAGTAGTCTTCTATGTCTATCTGTGCTTGTCAAGCTTGATTGTGTTTGCCATGACCATATATGAACCTTGCACTTTTCTCTGTGTAAACATGAGTCTCATTGTCCAATCTGTTAATACCCATTCCAAATTTGTAATTAGCAGCTTATACTCTGAAATTGATAATTTAATTACCTGCAAATGAGTTAAAAATTTTGATTTGAACTTACGATTCTCTGAAATTGATAATTTAATTACCCATTTCAAATATTGTCATTAAAAACAAACCTAACATTATTTCTCATTTTCTTTGGTATAGATGGATGATGGATGATCTCGTGCACGAAGCTAAATTGTACAAGACTACTTGGCAGTATAAGCATTTTTGGGAGGATTAAATATTTTTGGATGGATGTGTATGGATAACAAATATTAGTAGTTTTATTTGTTGATAGCTGTGCATGGATAACAAATAGTTTTGTTTCAAATTGTTATGCTAGACGGATGTGACTTGTGAATAAAAACTTAGAATAGTTGTATTGTGTCGAATGTTAATGATTCAGTTGATTTGAATGATGCTTTAAAATTATAGGTTTATTATGGATTGAATGAATTATTAGGAATTACAGGTGTATTGTTTTCCTGCTTTTGGGACCAATTTATTAGTCGCAACAAATAAATAACTTTTTTTTCGCAAAAAATGACAATTGCTGAGGTGATTCTTTGTCTATTTTCTGCTTATTATTGGGATTAAGCAAATTCTGACCTTATACCACCTGATGTAGCCTAAAAGTTTCCTTTTCACATTCTTGAAATTCAAAATATGGTGATTCATTCAGATTCAATCTTTCAGAGCAGACTAATAGTTTTCATGTGAAAGCTGATTTTTTATAATCATACTTCGATTTGAAATTCTTAGTTAACACTCTTTTAATCATACTTGCCAAAAAGAAGAAGCATTCTATGAATAATAGTAAAGATAGAAAAGAGAAAGAAAAAGAAAGAAGAAGTTTGATGTAACTAACGATTTCACTTTCACTCAGTTCTTGAACTTGTGTACCAACAGGAAGATCGTGAAAATGTGCTGCGCGCAAGAGAATCAGGAAAAGGGGTTCTCACTGCTCCTTTCAGGTTACTCAAATCAAATCGCATGGGAGTCATATTGAGTTTTGCTGTCTACAAGACAGATCTCCCCTCAAATGCAACATCAAGTGAGAGGATTCAAGCAACTGATGGGTATGTTGTCTGCCCAAAAATCAAACTTGTCATTAGCTCCTTAAGGGGGAATATAGAAGAGAAGAAATAAATAAATATACAATGATGACAATTGTATAACTGATCCTATTCATAAAATAAATTGTATTAAAAAATATAAAACAAATTTATAGGTCATCGCAAAGTAAAATAGAATTAATTGAGTTGATGTACTGTCTTAGCTATAAATAATGAGTGCAGCTAGAAATTTCAGGATGCAGACAAGATTAGAAAGATTGAATTAGATAAGAACTTCATTTAATGTTTCACTACTGCCAAGCAGGTACCTTGGCGGAGTCTTCGATATCGAATCAAATGTGGAGAGGTTGCTTCAACAACTTGCAAGCAAACAAACCATACTTGTGAATGTGTATGATACCACCAACTTTTCGCACCCTATCAACATGTATGGCTTGAATGTATCAAATGATAGGTTACAACATGTTAGCACACTTAACTTTGGTGATCCGTTCAGAAAACATGAGATGCGTTGCAGGTGATCTATTTAATCCTATCTGTTACTGTGTATTTTAGAGGGGTCAATGCGAGTTCTTAGATTGAGATTCAAAGTGATAAAATGGACTTACAACTAAGTTTGTTCTTGAAGCAGATTCAAACAAAAACCACCATGGCCATGGTTTGCGATGATGATTTCAATTGGTATCCTCGTAACTGCATTGCTTCTTGGGCATATAATCAACGCAACAGTGAATCAAATAGCCAAAGTTGAGGATGATTACCATGAGATGATGGAGCTGAAGAAACGAACAGAGGCAGCTGATGTTGCAAAATCACAGGTATTTGATAGTTGTAGTTCATGTATTGAAATTTTGTTAGGCTTCACCTAATATGTCTACATGGTTCTAATTGAATTTCAATCCTCTGTAGTTCCTTGCTACTGTGTCCCATGAGATCAGAACCCCAATGAATGGTGTTCTTGGTAAGTTTTTGTTATTGTCCTTTATCATTTTAAGTCATTTAAATACATTGCTTTGGGGAAAACATTAAAAAATTATTTAAAAATAAACAAAGAAAGTGGGGTTGTTGTGTGATGTCTGTATATATGTTTATTCAACAGGAATGTTGCAGATGCTAATGGACACAGATCTGGATGTAACTTAACAAGACTATTCAGAACTGCACAGGGCAGTGAAAGAGCGTTGGTTTCACTAATAAATGAGCTTTTGGACCGAGCAAAGATTGAATCTGGTAAGCTCGAGCTTGAGATTTAAAGAGATATCTAAAGATCAAATCCATCAAGCTGATTCACAATTTCAAGCATAGTGCATTGATTGGTTTCACACCTATGATTGATTTTTGTTCATTTGGACTAGAATATATTTTTTTCATTTGTTGATAGCTGCGCATGAATAACAAATAGTTATGTTTCAAATTGTTATGCTAGATGGATGTGACTTGTGAATGAAAACTTAGAATCGATACAAGCTTTTTTGGAACGTGCCATCTGAAATAGTTCACGAACCAGACGAGCACCCTCCCCAACATATTTCTTAACAAGTTCACTTCTAATAACACGGATGAAACACGCATCAGTTCTATTAGCCACAGCTCTAGCTAAAAGTGTCTTACCGGTACCAAGTGGACTATAGCATAGAACACTCTTAGGAGGGTCGATTCCGAGGTTCACAAACTTTTCGGGATCATTCCTTTGAAGTAACTACATAAGGACAAACAAATAAACCATAAACAAAGAAAAAGAAAAGAAAAGAAAAGAAACAAAAAAACAGAGAAAACCATAAATAAGAGGAAGATTGTTTTCAACATTGTAGTAGTCTTCTATGTCTATCTGTGCTTGTCAAGCTTGATTGTGTTTGCCATGACCATATATGAACCTTGCACTTTTCTCTGTGTAAACATGAGTCTCATTGTCCAATCTGTTAATACCCATTCCAAATTTGTAATTAGCAGCTTATACTCTGAAATTGATAATTTAATTACCTGCAAATGAGTTAAAAATTTTGATTTGAACTTACGATTCTCTGAAATTGATAATTTAATTATCCATTTCAAATATTTTCATTAAAAACAAACCTAACATTATTTCTCATTTTCTTTGGTATAGATGGATGATGAATGATCTCGTGTACGAAGCTAAATTGTACAAGACTACTTGGCAGTATAAGCATTTTTGGGAGGATTAAATATTTTTTGATGGATGTGTATGGATAACAAATATTAGTAGTTTTATTTGTTGATAGTTGCGCAAGGATAACAAATAGTTATGTTTCAAATTGTTATGCTAGATGGATGTGACTTGTGAATGAAAACTTAGAATAGTTGTATTGTGTCGAATGTTAATGATTCAGTTGATTTGAATGATGCTTTAAAATTATAGGTTTATTATGGATTGAATGAATTATTAGGAATTACAGGTGTATTGTTTTCCTGCTTTGGCGACCAATTTATTAGTCGCGACAAATAAATAATTTTTTTTGTGCAAAAAATGACAATTGCCGACCAAGAGTTTTGGTCGCAAAAAATACATTTATTGCCGACCAAAACAGCTCTTGGTCGTGGGAACTCACTTTTGCCGACCAAAAGTTTTGGTCGTGAAAAGTAACAAATGGCGACCAAATTTTTTGGTTGTGGAATGTCACAATTGTCGACCAAACTTTTTGGTCGTTGAATGTGATCATTGGCGACCAAACTTTTGGTCGCAAAATGTGTCAATTGGCGACTAAGATATTTGGTCAGGAAAATATCACTTTTCGCGACCAAAGTGTTTTAGCGACAAAATGAATTAGTCGCGGTAATTAAATATTTAGCGACCAAAAATTTAGTCGGCAAATCTAACTTTTTCCGACCAACC